CGCCCGCTAGGGCTAGGGACCGCTTGGTGTCGGTTTCCGACAAACCATTAACTCGCAGGCGCGGCCGAGATTATTGGTGGGTATTGTATCGTGTGGGGGTCGATTTACGGCCGTCGACCTGGGTGGATACAGTATGGTGATGGTGTTGGTGTGGTGTTGTGAGCGAGGGCGTGGTTGGGACGTGCTCCCAGCGGGATGCTTCCCTGGTTGTTTTCTGCGCTTCGTTTATGCGTTTGGGCGCGTGTGGGCTCTCGTATCAGCGCCTCCTCTATGTGCCCTCCCTTTGACTCTTCCCCCTTGCTTTCTTCTTCTCGTCGTCTTCGCTCGGTAGCTCCAGCCCTCCGTAGGCTTTGTGAAAGCGTTTTGTGCGGTGGATGAACCTAAACAAGGGTTTCATCGCATCGGGTCTGTTCAGCAGGACTGCGAGGGTCATCACAATACTAATATGATGTCTGTCAGTGACGATGTCTTCATGGACGACCCACAGTTGGATCTTATTCATCCATTCTTGGAATTTAACTTTTCCATCGGCTCCGTTGAACTCAGGGGGCTCGCCGATCTTAGGCTGCCTGGTTCCCTTTGAACTCTGAGCTGAAACCGGTAGCTGTGCCATCTGAGTGTTAAGATTGGCGACTTGGCTACTGAGATTGGCGACTTGAGGTTCAATTACCCCAAGGGTTGAAGTGTTTACGCCAGTATTCGATTCTACTAAGTCAAAATCGGATTGACCAACAGAGTTGTCGAGTTCATTTACAATATTTTCAGCCACTTGCTGAACATAGTGTGTTGTGAATCCTCGAGTCATTCCGAAAGTGTTGGCCATCATCCTGGCTAGGGTATGGAATTGATCTTCCGAGAAGATGTTCCGTTGCGCAATAGTAGCTCCTTCCATTAAGCCTTCATTCCAAGCATTGTCGCTGGCTGGAATGGCCATTTCCAATTCACAAATATCAGTCATAGACATGTTTCTATGTCGAGATGGTTAGCCTTGAATTTCTTCATAGGTCTTATATATAATTAAGAGCAAAGTAAGCCACAATCCGTTCACACATTTGCTATTTCAGCGATCACACATTTTTAAGCCAAGTAAAATGATATTTCTATCAATCTGCCATATTTAATAATCAAAACATCCCTGCCTTCCAAGCACTGCTACTTCCGAGCAGGCTACATCCCAATTCCCTGATTCTCCAAAATCAATCCTCTTCACCATGTTCATATCCCTTCTGAGCAGACACCACTGCTTATTGGTGAGGTGATGCACTATAAATTCGAGATCAAGTTTGTTGAAGTTCTTGATTAATTTATCGACATTGTCGAGGTATTTCTCGTTGAGTCCTAGACTGTCCACCTTGTTCTGGAAGTACGTCAAGCGTTCTCCAGTGGCAAGGACCGGAATTTGAAACTCTTTGATCCGTTCTAAGATTTTGGACTTCTTAAATCTAATCCCTTGTGGAATAGGCTTCGGAGGTTCATAGCTTGGAGGACCAATCCGATCGATGAGTGAACCGGATGGTGGTGGAGTAATAGAGTGTTTAGAACAAATATGTTTGAAGTACTCATCCATAAGGGCGCTAAGTTCCCATTGCCTGTCGAAGTGCTTTTCAAGTGTTATAGCATTTTCTGTGCTACACTCTGGATCGAGTCTAGTCCAAAGTGGGACCATAGGTTTGGTAGACTTCTTCTGTCTGCGATTGACAGAGAGTTTGGCGAAACAAGTCTTGTTGATGTTTAGAGTAATGGTGGTTGCAATGCCTGATACATCGTCTTTTGCAACAGCTACGAAGCGTGGATAAGAGTTGGCAGTAGTGGCTTTAGACATTTTTCTGGCAGTGTGAAGTGCGATGAGCATAAAACTCATTGGTGTACGGAATTATGTGGAAAGGAATAAAACGAGTTGGCTGCACACATCACGCTTCTTGAACCATTGAAACAACATGCATATATTGACAGACAAATTAATTTGTTGGTAAATCCGCCCATCCCCCTGTCTTGCTGTCAACCTCATCCTTCATCCTAGTAAGGCTCATGACTGCGACCTCGAGGTGATCATGGATCATGAGGGTTGGTGCTATCTTGAAGTTGATGCTGTTTAGCGCCTTCTGCGCTTCGGCCAGGACGTGGTTGGGACAGAAAGGGCCCCAGCTAGACGATTGCTGGTTAAAGAACTCTGTGACAAGGTCAAGAGCCCTCTTGGCCTGGCCGTTGGCTAAGACAAAGCTATCGCCTTTGTCGAATTTGGGGTAATGGAGGGAGGTGTTGTTGTTGTTGGAGCGGTTGTTGCGCCTGTTGTTGCAACGGTTGTTGTTCTGTCTGGGCATGGTTTCTAGCGGTGCATGTGTGTGAGCGTGTGACTCTAGTGGAAAATAAATTCTCCATAGGTTGGTGATCTTCTAGTCGTGTAGAGGTAGAGTCGACGTCGGCCTACGTTCTCTTGTAGGTCCGGAATGAAGGAATACAGATCTTAGTCAGGGTTCCACCCCTGCTACAAGTGCATTGGTACTCGGTTACCTCCGCCTAGACAACCTTGAAATGTGATAGCAATGTAGGTTTTCAGGCCTTCCACTGATCACGCATCCAAGGCTTGGTCATTGAAGACCTTGCCTAGCCTTCTGGGCATATGAAGGTATAGCCATTACTTCGCATGCACAGTGAAGTGCACACTACCTCTTATCTCTGAGGTCCGAGATTGTCTTAACAGACGAAGGGGTACGACATCATTGAAGAGCCAACCTAGAATAAGAAAGAAGAAAAGCACCACCAGTACGCTTTGCAGCACAGGGGTGTAGGGGGGGAGTCTAATTCAAATGTAACAGTCTCTGCTAGTTACTCACCAAAATATAATGGACAAAGGACGTGAATAGATCGATAGTGATAGAGAGAGATCAAGACTGCTTATAGAGAGCTGAGACCTTAGTCTTTAACGAAGTGAATTAGACTGGGGAATCTCCCTGCAGTCGTGCCTCTATATATACATGATGCTATGCACTATATCCTATGTGTCCAAATGGAATAACTGCGACAGTGTGTGCTCATATCAAGAGCTGGACCAATGGCAATAATCCCTGCTATCTAATGCCCATGCGGAAGTGTCAAGTGACCAAGATACGACGCGAGT